GGTCTGGGTGGATGTGGGTCTGGGTGGATGTGGGTCTGGGTGGATGTGGGTCTGGGTGGATGTGGGTCTGGGTGGATGTGGTCTGGGTGGATGTGGTCTGGGTGGATGCGCGAGGTCCTGGGTGAGTCCTCACAGGTCGTGCTGCTCCCCGTGTGCAGGCCATGCTCTGAGGAATGCGAGGGGCATGAGCCAGGAGACGGGGTTCTGGAGCGGAGGCGTTCACCCCCCCACCTCCCACAGGTGAGCGAGGGTGGTCTCCTTGGGATGGTGGTGAGGCCCCGCTGTGAGAGGAGTCTGGGAACCGGCCACGTGGACACCGGCCGCGCTGACACGCAGGCTTCTGCTCATCACAAGACGTCCAGGCAGGCAGGGTGGGTCCTGTTGTTTAGTTTGGGAGGGTGAGAGAGATGATTGATCTGTGCTTTACCCACAGTTTGTCCGAGATGCTGTTCTTGGTTGACAGTGCCCAGGGCAGACACAGCCCAGCCCTGACTCAGCCACATTCAGGTTTGCATTTTCCTCCGAAGGCGTGTCTGAGGCGTCTTGAGGGCTCTCCACGCCCCAGATCCCTTCTGTCGGGGTCATGGGGCATGCTGTGGAGGGAGCTGTAGTGCAGTGATTTAACTCACCCAGCTCGGAATCGGGGTGCCTGTCCGTACTCCAGGGCCTCTGAGGATGGAGGAAATGGCGTTGCTAGGTCTTTTCTGCATGTGCCTGTGCAAACCTCCACACGATCCCAAGGATTTCAGAAACCCAGGCCACCGAGCTGTCCTGTGTTCCAGACCTATCACCTGATGCATCAGGCTGGCCCGCTCTCTGCAGGTGGTGGTGGGGACGGTGCTGTTGGAGGGAGAGCGTGGTCACGATGTGTCTGCACATCTCATGTGTTTACACAGTCTGGAAGCCCTCTGAGTGTGCAGAGGCCGTGGTGGTGCAGGCTCCGCGCGGGGCTAGCGTGTAGTCCCGGGCTGCGGGGCTGAGTTGAAGGCAGCCCGGACCACAGGACTCTGCCCCAGGTCCTCAGATGCGTGCCGTGAGAGGGTACAGGAGTGAAGACATGTTTTGGTTCTCGAAATTGTTGGTTTTTATCATGTTTTGAAAGCAGTATGTGCAGCACAGGGGATTTCTGGCCTGTGGTGTGGAGGCAGATGCTGGGGGCGGTGTGCAGTGCTGCAGAGAGAAAATGTGTGCATTATGTTACTACTAAAGTAAGTTCTGAACTCCCCCCCTGCACTTCCAGGCTTAGGGCTTCAAGACTCCAGACTGACTACTGGAATAAAAATGCTGCTATTCTGATTTGTTTGGATTCTTTGCCCCAATTTAAAGACTATGATTAATAGTTATTCCCTATTATTCTCAATGTTATTTTAAAGTAGTTAAGCTGGAGAAATAATTCCATTAATCAAAATAACAGGAAATGAAAAAACAAAATGGCAACCTGCTTTGTCTCAATTTTAGCAATGGATGCTGTTATAAGATTGAGAACTGTGTAGGTATGTTTAAATATAGGTGTAATCTATATATATATACATGAAATATGGATATCATCGATTTTATATGTATAGGTATAATCTGTTTTATATGTAGGTACATTAAATATAGGTATAATCTTTCCATGTAGGTACATTAAATATAGGTATAATCTTTTATATGTAGGTACATTTAAGTATTGGTATAATCTATTTTATATGTAGGTACATTAAATATTCATATAATCTATTTTTATATAGATACATTAAATATAGGTATAATCTTTTATATGTAGGCACACTTAAATATAGGAATAATTTATCTTATAGGGACATTCACTACAGGTAAAATCTATTTTATATGTAGGTACATTAATGACAGGTACAATCTATTTTATATGTAGGTACATTAAATATAGGTATAATCTAATCTTGTAGGCTCCAAGCATTACAGATCAGATGCTCTCAGTTGTTGAAGCTTTTTTATTCATAAAACCAAACAAGTGTCTTAGGCTGTGTCCATTTTCTCTTAAGTATAATGTGCTAGCTGTGTGGTAAATGTAACTGGTGCTTGCCCTAATCCAGCGCCATGGTCCTCTGAGCCACTGTCCTGCAGGCTGTGCGGCAAAGGTCAGGTCTGGGGCTCTGGTCCCCACAGGCCCGACAGAGTGTTACTCTGAGATGGACTTTCTTGATGACCAGGGATTCCTCCTACCTGAGGCATTGTCTCTGATTGGTGTACATGTCATTGCCATACATCTGAGACTGTGTAAGCTTCTCCCTGCCTTTGAGGAAGGGCACAAATAGAACACCTAAAGCTGCTCCAGTCAGTTATCCACCCATGTCAAGTCATAGGGCTAGAAATCAGGGCCTGGGCGCTGTCCCTGGGGTTTTTTGCTCAAGGTTTAGCATTCTACCACTTTGAGCCACAGCTCCACTTCTAGTTATCTGGCGGTTGATTGGAGATAAGAATCACAGATTTTCCTCCCTGGGCTGGCTTTGAACTGTGATCCTCAGATCTCAGCCCCCTGAGTAGCTGGGGTGGCAGGCGGCAGGCGTGAGCCACCGGTGCCCACTACTTCACTTTGAGTATCACTGAGGTGCTCATGTGTCCGGCTCTGGAGAGGAAAATGCAGATTTTCTAGAAGCTTATACTGCTCATTTCTGACCACTGTTTTCCTTGTAGGAAGAAAACACAACTCAGAATAGTACAAGTAAGCAGTCCCTGTGGTTTGAGTTTTTCTGGGGCTCTTCCTTCCTTGTTTCATTCATTTCTTCAAACTGTAGGGCTACCGTGTCTATTGGATAATACAATAAGGTTATCAGTGATGACTGAGTTGTAAAAGCAAGGATCTGTATATCTGGATTTATGGACATAACTGAGTAATCTCATGAACCATTAGATTGTCTTGACTCTGTACTTCAGAAATAAATGTAAAACTTTCTGAGTCCTGGAGTTTAAAAAATACCATCCGTTTTAAGAGAGAAGCCCTCTTCTGTGCCTCTGCCACAGCCGCATGCTTGGGCCAGTCCGCCCTGTGCAAGCCTCTGTGTTCTGGTCAAAAGATGAGGCTGCCAGTGGATGCATCCTCTGTGTGTGTGTGTGAGCTGCTGTCCACACAGAATCTAGATGCACACGACACAATGCCCCCAGCACCATATTCACACAGGTGACACCCCTGTCACGTACAGGACACCTGTGGCCATGTGTGACATGTTCGCACATGCAGCACCATGTCCACACACATGACACCATGTTTGTGTGTGGCACATGTGCTCTCACACACACCACCCCAGGTGTGGATGCAGCGCACGTGTTCACATCCACAGCCCCGTGTTTACGTATGGTACCATGTTTGTGCCTGTCTCTGAGGTGACAGTTACTGGGCACGTGTGCTTCCCTGACACATGCAAAGGAAATCCAAAGCCTGTTTCTTCTCTCAATGATTGTGGAGACATTTTCCCTGAAAGCTGTGGAGACTGAGTCCCAGGAGCCTTGCTAGTGCTGCTGCCTCTGCAGCACCTGGAGACCTGTCCCCACCTGTGTCCCTGCGCAGGGCTCACGTGGGTCCCTGTCCCATGTGTCCCTCCCCACCTGTGTCCCTGTGCAGAGTCCATGGCAGGAGGCGCAGGCCTGCAGAGCGCATTCTCCCACATCGTCTCATGTGGTGCCAGCCGCGTCTCAAGTGCACTGCTGACCACCGGGCCTCCACCAGCCTCAGCGTTTGCCTCCTCTCTTCCTGCCTCTGCAGGATGCATGTGGGAAGGTGGCGTGGGTACAGGGCCAGCCCTAAACCGTGGTCTGAAATGAGCAACTCAAGCGCTTGGTTCATATGCCCTCCCCATTCCCATGGTCCCCAAAGGCAGAGCCAGAGGCCAGGATATTCTGAGAGCTGAAGCTTGCGGATCAGGACTGGAGCTCAAGGTTAACACTGTTAACTAAAATTAGTCTTGCCATGTTGGTTTTGGACTCAGATGGTAAACGCCATTGTTCAAACAGTGAGCTGCCTGTCATCGGAGAGCTCAGTGCTGGCTCCTATGCATGCCCAGTTTTATCGTTTTATTCTTTGATTGTTTCCCGCCATGGCAGTTATTGATGGCCCTCCGGAGTTTTGGCAGACCTGTGTGAGGCCAGTGCTGTGCTTGGATGTTTGTGGGGCCCCGGTTCAGCCTCGTGTAGAACTGCCGGCCCCCCTGTGCGTCTGCCCTGTGTTGGAGTGCGATGCTTTGTCCATCCTGCCCTTCCCTGTCCTGCCGACACAGCTTGAAGAGCTATCGGAGGCCCGCCGATCCTTTGGGGGCGGCTGGGGGGGGATGGAACTCACCCCACGCTGCTGGGGGCGGGGCTCCCGGGCGCCCAGCACACCGTGCACACCGAGCCCACTGTGCACGGGAATCGCACGGCAGTACTGAGCTTCTCGTGTCTCCTTTCTCTCGCAGGGGACAGGCCGTGCCAGCCCAGGGACTGTGCTGACAGAGCTCACACCTAGAGGTGTGCCGCCCGCACTCCGGTGCCCGCGTGGGGATCCCTGCGGCCTTGCTGCCCTGAGCACCATCGCCTCCAGGAGGAAGAGCCGCGTCTCCAGCCCGGACACCCCCGCCCAGAGCCGCCAGCCCCTCCTCGCCAGCTGTGAGCCACAGCAACGATGCAATGCCCGGAACCCCGTGACTCCCCCCACGCATGTGCGTGCTCACCCACCGTGGCTGTGCCCCCTTCCCCCAACACGAGTGGTGCTGGCCGCCGGGCGGGAGCTCGAGGCGTATGTATTCGTCACAACAAGTTGGAGACACTGGAATAGAGCGACTCGTGGGCCTTGCACGGAGGGGAGAAGCCGACGCCGTCGGCGGAGCCGGGGCTCTGAGGACCGAGGCGATGTCTGCAGGACCATGGGACCGAGGTGGATGGAGCGTTAGTACTACTGCGGTGCTCTCCGTGTCATAGTGCGTGTCGAGAATAGCAAACAGAGGAAAGGAAGGCGGCAGTGTTGGGGTGCTGTGGAGACCAGGCTGGCGGGGTCCCGACGAGCTGGACTGGTTCGGAGGTGTGACTGCACGAGCTGCGGGCTGCGGGCCCTCCCGCGCGCCCGCTCTGCCCACGCCGCCATCCCTGCTGACTGCGGCAAGGGAGGCGTGGACCTGGGCACGCGTGGGATCTGCTTCGGGAAGGAGCTGGTTGGACACTAGAAGAGCAGGCTTCTTTCTTTATTCTCAGGACCTTTGTGTAACAGGGCTACATTCTGTAAACTGCTCACAAAGAAAGACTGCAGGTCTCTACCAATTAGCCACTGAATCCTCTCGATTTGGGCCTGATGTAGAAATGCAGAAGAGCCCTGAGCAGGGCTGGGGTGCCCAGATCACGCGGGGCCTCGGGGCTCTGGTACCCTCTGTTCCCTCCCCACCTCCCCTGCACCACCCCAGCAAATACGCGTCTTTTCCTCCTTGAGCCTGGTGCTGTCCACAGACAGCGCAGGCCGAGGTGGGGACGGCTTTATATACCTCTTCCATAGTAATGCAGATGCAAGGTTTTGGTTTTGTTTTGTTCTGTTTTTTAAAGAGGGGGGTGAAAGCCCGTAAGACCTTACTACACCATGCAGTGTACGCAGATTGAATCGTATTCCACAGATCTAGATATTTTCTTTTCCTGTTACCGTGACACTACGTGTGATGGGAATATTCTGAGAGTTTCAGATTTTTGCACATATGATTTTATGCATTATCAGAAGTTACTGCTGCCTTGAAAGAAAATGTTCTGTGAAATTTTTTGCAAAAGCTTTACTAGGGTTTTTTTTTAATTGTGAAATTTTGTAAAGGCAGGAAATGGATTAAGATGAGCATGCTAAATATATTTTTCAAAAAAAGCAATAATTTTACATGTACAGAAATTATCCTAACCTTTAATACTGGTGAGAGGGACAGTTTACTTAATACAGTAATGGATTACTGCAGTTTTGTAGAAAATGGCTTCTGATACAAAGACTTGTTTAAACACACACACACACACACACACACACCCTGAAGTGTGGTTTTCCTGTTCTAATGATACGTTGGATTATTATTATTATTATTATTATTATATTATTGTTATTATTGTTATTGTTAGTTGATGTTTGGTTCTGGATTCTACTTGTTACTGAGTTTAAATTACTTGACAGTTCAGGTGGCTTTGTGACACTTGCAAACAATGCAATGTAACTGGCTAGCTTATATTCTATTATACATGTATTATTTTTTTTACTTCTTTCCTCTGGCTATTCTTACACCGGGTATGTGCGAGGCTGGTCCACCGTGTTGGCGTGCTCAGGGGCCCATGCCACCGCGGGGGCCCTCTGTGAAGTTACTTTGAGTGAGAAAGAGACACAGTCCTCAGCCACTGAGCAGTGAAGTGAGTGTGTTTGTGTTGATTGGTGTTTGATCATTTCGCTAGCTGCCCCAAGTGCTCATTCCTGCATCGTCTGGCTTTTGTTTTCTTGGCTGAACGTAAATGGTGACCGTTAGGAATGTACAGAGGCTCCGGACGCGGCCCTGTCTGTCTTCTCTGTGTCTTAGTTTATTAAAAGAAATTCTGTACCCAAAGTGACACCAAGGTGTCGTCTACATTTTTACTGTGTCCCAACGGCACTTGGCATTTAGAGCTGAAAGTGTCCTTGCTCCCCACGAATCTCTCTTCTCAGTCCGTCTGGAGAGAGGGGTGTGCTGGGGTCCCCGTGGCCGGCAGCCGGCTTGGAGCCTGGTGCGCGGGAGCGCAGCCGGAGGACAGCAGCTCGCCGGGACGGGCCACGCGGAGCGCAGAGATGCGCCTTGCCCGTAGTTAACAGGGCCGCGAGGGGCACCCCACCTGGCCGGCACGTGCAGCCTGGATGCGTGGCTCCTTTCTTCCACCGACCCTCAGTATTGGACTGGCTTGTTTATTCACTTAGGTCAGTTCCCCCATTGTATTTAAGTTGATTTATGTTTTCTTATTTATTTAGCCTGTGTGTGTAGATGTGCTCTCCCGTCCAATGGTCATTTCCGTGGATTCTTGACTGTTCCTGACATTCTACTACCTCTGCCAGTCTGTCGTCTCCTCCTGACCCCACCAGGAGTTCCCCAGTGTTGCGTGTAATGTCACACAGACAGTGAAGGGCAGGGTTGGATACGCAGCAGCAGCCCTGGTGTCCCACCCCCTCCGCCCTGCCTGCTCGCTGCTTGCTGCCTCCCGTGCCTGGCCCCCTCCCTCCCCCCCCACCCCCCGCTTCTCCTCCTCATGCTTCATTTCAAATAACACATAGATAGCTTCTACGGATCTTTCAGGTTAATCACTCGTAGTCCTTAATTTGGAGAACGAACGTCTCGACTGTCTTTCTCGAGTGGCAGGCGCTGTCTGTCTGGTCTGAAGCCGGGGCCTGGCCAGTGTCAGGCTGACCGTAGCTGGGTCAAAGTTCACCCTGTCAACACCAGGCAGATTGTTTTTCAAGCCAAGTGGACTCTCTCTTCTTTTTTCTTTCTGTTGTTCTGAGAAGGATTGAAGGCTTTAAGAGGTTTCCCCAATATTATTTATTTTGTAAGTCAAGAAGGACACTGGTCTCTGAAAACAAGGTGCTCCAGGGAATTGCAGTGGGAGGCCACTGCGGGCATGTCGCACGGTGAAGGAATATTGGCTCCGTCTGTCGCAGCCATGGAGATCCATCCCGAGGTGCACCTGTCTGGGAGCGGGACCGACTGCTCAGCCACAGGCCCGCGGGGCGACAGCCTCACACGCCTAGGACATGGATGGGGCTCCTTCCCAGCGTCCTCGGGAGAGCCATGGAGCTCCAGGGCGAGCAGGTGCTGGGCGGGGAGTGTGGCAGGCAGCACTGCGGGCACCCCGGACCCTTGGCAGAGACGAGAGCAGCTGCCCTCCCCGAGAACACGAGGCTCCAACCCTGCCCATGTGCACTGTGTCTGAGGGGAGGCGCGCCGCGTCCGTTCAGGGCTGTGAGGTCGGTAACTTCTGATTCCAGAGTGTTTTATTTACTGAGCAGACACAAAACCGTGAAACCCCAGAAATGATGGGCCCGGGGCCCCGCAGGGGTGCTGCGGCGGGGTGCGGCCTGCGGCCTGCGTGGGGCTCCCTGCCCTCCTGGGGCACGCTGGACCGTGGCCACCTAGGGAAACGTCTTCGTTAGCTTCGCCGAGTGGTACTCTGAGGCAGCAAAATGCAAACAACCATAGAATTTGTATTTCTTTTTAAAAAAATACAATTTATAACATTATATTTTGTACTCTTTATATTAGAATTTGTAACTAGATTGATGTATTTAACTCTATTTCTGAAAAAAATAATTCAATGTTTCAGTTGTGATAAAAAAAAGTATTTAGATAAAGCATAATCATTCTATTGGAATTTGAAATAAATAAAAACAAATCTTGGAGTTCTTGAGAGTTGTAAGACATTTTTCCCCCATCCCAGAAGGGGCCTTGGGCTACGTGACACCCTGTCTAAATCCAGCTGTTTGCCGTTGGCTGGACACAAACGAAAACGTTAATACTCCATATGTAAGCACAGTCTTTCCGTGTGCGTTCACCAGATCGTTTATTGAAAAACACGTCACACGGTCACATCCATGTTGACTCCAGGATGTACATTTTCCCCTCCCAGGACACAGTGTGCTAGCACACTGGAGGACACACTGAAGAGACACCTGGGCAGGCCCCGCTGAGGTGGGGGCCGGCCCTCGCTCTGTAGGGTGAAGTGGAAGGGTGTGTCTGTCTCTGAAGGGTGAGTACTTAAGCAGGGCTCCAGGGAGCAGGCTGACGGCGGCTGGACGGCCTTGCCTGGGCCTGGGCTGCCCAGGGTGCTCGGGGCGAAGTGCCGTGGTAAGGAGGGGGGTTTCCCGAGAGGCCTCTCGACTGTGCTGACTGCCGGACAGGGCCTCCCTCCCAAATTATTATTAGCTGAATCTTAGGAGAAGGGCTGGACACAAGGACAAATCCCTGCAAGGTGACTGACAGCTCGTGGGTGTGACAACCAGCCATGCCCACCTCCCGCGTGGTCACCTCGCCGAGTTCCCTACAGGTGACAGGCGCTGGGCCCGGGTGCTCGTATGTTCACATTGCGGGTAGACACCATGCAGCCCGGGTGTTCACCGCGCAGACTGCTCCCTGAGGGGCCTTCCTGCTAGACGGCAGCTCTGCTGCACAGGCGACGCAGGGCCGGCCGGGCCGGGCCCGCTGTGTGAGCGGCCAGCAGCCCCAGGGGCTGGTGGGAATTCGGTGGATGACTGGTGTCTGCAGTTTGGATGCAGGACCTTGCACACAGGCATGCACACCCCTCACACACACACCCATTAGCATGCACACAAGTGTACATATATACGTGTGTGCACACATGTTCATCCCTGTACAACTGCACAACACATTGAATTGGAAACAGCTGTGATGGTCCATGTTTTCCCCTTTGGAAATGGCAATAAAACCAATGGCACATGCTTTCCTCTTCGTGTGCTTCATGTTACGTTGTAGAAAGGTGACAGTAGTCAAAAGTCTAGCTATGTGACCACAAGTGTGCCCTGGGTGTGTCTGTGGCACATGGGAATGTCTGCGCCCACCCTTGCCCAGGGCGGGTCACCAGTGGCTTCGAGGCAGGGCGAGCGGCCGCCCAGGCAGCGGATACTGCGATGGCAGGAGACAGAGGGACAGAGACGGTGACGTGAGCAGGCTTGGCTCTGGGCTGATAGAGCGACGTGCCTCTACTGCGCTGTGCCAAGCAGCAAACACAGACTGTTGTGGACACTGAGAAGTCCCGGGTGCAGACTCGGGGAGCCTCAGCACCCTCGCAGGGCGGGTGGACACTGAGAAGTCGCGGATGCAGACTCGGGGAGCCTCAGCACCCTGGCAGGGCGAGTGGACACTGAGAAGTCCCGGATGCAGACTCGGGGAGCCTCAGCACCCTGGCAGGGTGGGGGACCAGGCCCGAGGCCTGCTGAGGGCACGCTCACCCTGAGGGCCTGAACTCATGACTGTCACCTCCCCGCATCCTGTCCCTGTCACCATGGCGTGGGTTGAGCTTCCTTCGGCTCTCAAGCGAGAGGCATGTGGGCAGAGGCCGTGGTGAACCCGCTGTGGCCCGCAGCTGAGGAAGACGGGGGGGGGGGGAAGAGGAGAGGGGGGAGGGCTGCTGCCTGCGCCCTCAGGCCGGCGGGCACAGCATGCCAGAGCAGACGCTCACCACTAGTTGGCCACCAACGGTGGCAACTTGTAAGGGGCAAGGGCCCTGTCCCGCTGCCTTCGGGGCTGGTTGCTGGGGTCACAGCAGGACATTTAAGAAGGACATACAGACATCAGGTGAGCGTCCGGGGCACACCCGGGCCTCCACAGCAGATGGGCGCAGGGCAGGGTTGCACGTGTCCCCTGGGCATCCCAGCAATGTAGCCGCGTGCCAGCCTCCACCCCAGCAGGACACACACCCTGGGAAGGGGTAGAGCCTCCAGCCGCTCGGGGAACTACCATTATTAAAGCCCTTGCGTAGAGCCAGAGACACATGCACCTCATGTGCTCAAAAGATTTCAGGCTCTAAAGTTGTGGCGCGTGTGCAGGGAGTTGTGTTTTCCATTCGCCCTGCACACTGTCTGCTGTGTCGCAGTGCTGTGCCGGGCTGGCCTGGTAAGATGCAGGAAGGGAAGTACAATCGGGTCATGCTGGGGGGTGGGAAGTATGAGGGCCACAGTGGGTGTGAGGAGGTGGAGTCTACTTGGGGAGAGGCCTGAGGTCCACATGTCCACGTATCCACAGAACCAGGGTAACCCACCTGAAACTCAGGAAGGATTTGCTCAAATCGATGGAATGATTAGGTGGAATAAAAACAAAACTTATAGTATGGCTCTGCTGTCTCATGTCTGTAGTCTTATTGAGAACAAGATCAGGGTTCAAGACCAGCCCCGGGCGGTCTTGCATGCATAGCTGGGTGGTGTTGCACACACCTCTCATCCTAGGCTACAGGGGAGGCTGGGATTGGGACAATGACAAATCCAAGACAGACTGGGCAAAGGAGACTGTGTCCCAAGAGAGAAGTGGGAATGGTGGCATGCACCTGTGATCCCACTGGTGACAGCCTAAAGTTAGGTGGGTAAGAGAGCACAGGCAGAGTGTCTGGAGGGAAGACTAGACCAAAATGGCAGTGGGCAGCAGGGCTAGAGGCATGGCTCTGCTGTATCACGTCAGCCTAGAAAGCACAAGGCCCCGAATTCAAATCCTAGTAACAGCAAAAAATAAAAGCCTGCCATTGATGTTCAACCTCAGCTGGACCGTCTCGGCTTGTGTGGCATGGGTTTCTGGGACCCGGTACATTCAAGATGTATTTGCGTCGTTACATCAGACAGGACTGGCAGCGGCCAGTGATTCCTGTGTGGCGTCCACTCACAGTGAGGCTTTCGCAAAGACACATCTCGTCCACCAGTCAGCACCAAGAGAAACAGTGCGTTTACTGGGAGCGTTAAGAGGCATGCGTGCTCACTTGTGTGTGTATGTGTGTGCGTGCCTGTGTGTGTGTGCATGCATGCATGTGCATGCGTCTGGAAGAAGAGGAAAGCGAGAGGCAGACACTAGAGTGGTGGGGGGCTGGCACACTTGGCACAGGCCAGATGCACTCATCAGGACCTGAGTCCATCAGAGGTGTGGTTTGCTCAGTGATGGTCTCCATCCAGGTCAGCTGACCGCTCCGGGTCTTGACCCAGAGAATGAGTGAACAACAGGTGCAAGTTGTTTTCAGAGCCACTTCAGCACTGGGAGTGCTGGGCTCTGGTTAACATCCTGGGTCTGCATTATCCCAGGGGGGCATTGCTAACTCCTCTTGACGTGGAAGAGCTGAAGTCAGGAGCAGCACACAGAGCACCAGGGTCCGGGATGCTGTCTCTCCGCACCCCGCTGCTGTGCGCACCCCACTGCCGTGTGCCAGGGCAGGACCATCACCACGCACCCATGGCCTGCCCCGGGGCAATGGGGTGACCGGTGGGCTGGCACAGCACCCTGTGAGTGGAAGGGGTGAGGGGTGGCCAGCCCACACGGGAGGTGGGTCGTGTCAGAACACCAGACTGGCGTTCTGTGACCCTCTCTATGGGAGGACCAGAAAGGTGTGTGTCTGGCTTCATGTAAGGTCTCTCTCACACACACATACACACACATCACTCAGCAGTTACAGCACATGGTCAACGTTTGTCTCCGTCCTTCACCTGACGTCTGTATGTCCTTCTGAGATGTCCCGCTGTGACCCCAGCAACCTGCCCCGAACGCAGCGGGACCCGGGCCCTTGCCCCTTAGAATCGCCACGGTTGGCGACCAACTAGCTGGTGAGTATCTGCTCTGGGAGGTGGGCCCCTGGGAATATGTGTATTCCAGGACATGTCCTAAAGCCATGCCTCTCATAGCCACGCAGATTGGTTAGCTCTGTGCTTGGGATTTGCCTCAAGTCGGAGTTACAGCACTTGGTGGTTGGAAGGTTCCCTGCAGTTTACATAGTGGCGTTCAGCTTCTTCTTCTTCTTCTTCTTCTTCTTCTTCTTCTTCTTCTTCTTCTTCTTCTTCTTCTTCTTCTTCTTCTTCTTCTCCTCCTCCTCCTC